GACAGCCAGGAAGCCAGGGACTTTTGTTGGAGATAAGGAGAGAGTGGGACTGGGGTTCTCTCATGCCGCTTGTGCATTTGTAGTTTCTGCCGAGGCCTTGCTCAGCAGCTACAGACACTAGGCAGGCACACGGTCAAGGTGCTCGCTCCCCAACTTTGGAGCAGACCCATCTGGCACCTGGGCCAATCCCTGGGTCTCTGGGCGAGCGACAAAGTAGGGTGATCCTTATCCTGCAAGGCTCCCCTGAGGGACGAGCTGGCAGAGGTCATGCATCAGCTTCGACCTGGCATCTCGTCTGAGGAGTACGATGCTGAGACCTGGGGAGCCCCCCACGGTGGGGGGTTGCTCCCCTCCCCCACGGGGCCGAATTGGTCTGCTTCATGCGTGCTCTAAAGGCTGACATGCTCTTGAGGGGAAGGAGGTGAGGAGGGGGCGGTGGGAGCATCTTCTCCCTGCCCCCAGCCCCAGCTCCTGGTCCCCTGCAGTCACAAGGCCAAGGTCAAGCACGACTCAGAGAGATGTGGAAAGACTACCGACCAGCCATCTGCTTCTCCTTACTCCTTCTCTTTTTCTCCAGTCTCCGCAGACGCTTCTCCTCCCGCCGCCGGGCCTCCTCCTCCTCCTGGTGCTGCCGACACTTGTGGAAATTCTCCACCACCACGCCCACAAACATGTTCAGGACAAAGAAGGCCACAATGAGCAGGAACGAGATGAAGTATAGCAGCATCCAGGGGTTGTGGTTCATGATGGGCTGGTGGGGATCAGGAAGGACAGGTGGAGGCATCAGGCGGGGATACGTCAGACCTGACTGTCTCAGGTGCCGCCCCACAGCCCGGGTTCCTTAAGACAAGGTCTGCAAACTTGGTTAGCTACAGGGCCCCAGCAGGTGCTGCGAATGAATGGGAGGGGTGGGGACTGTGCCAAAGTAGAGAGTAGACGTTCTACCCCAAAGAGGCACGGCTGCTCGGTTCCACGTTAACTCCTGCCCTGAGGCAGTGCAAGCCCTATGTTCCCAGATCTTCAGACTTCTGAGCAGGCCCAACTCTGGATTTTCACATGAAATCCACCAATTTTTAAATTGGTTTGCTACTAATTCAAAGAAGTGTAAACATGTTGCAATCCAATACAACACGCCCAGATATGGCCCTCAGGCTACCGGTCAAAGCCTCGGCTAATGGGGTGATGCCTCTTTGATGGAATTTGCCAATCAGCCTTGCCCTCTTTCTGTCCCGTGCCTGCATCCCATCATGCCTTGTTGAGTGACCCGAGCCCAAAGATGGATCCTGCCCACCTCAGCCCTACCTGTTGGTCCACACCCACGGCATCCAGCCCGTCGTACATGATGTCCACCCAGCCATCTTTGGAGGCCAGCACGAACAGGGACATCAGGGCCTTGGGGCGGGGCGGGGGGGTGGGGGAGGAGAAACCATGTGAAACCTAAGATGTATGGCTAAACCACCCACCACCTGTCCCCAAAGCACCTCATGGCAGCAGCTCAGGGGACCCTAGCCTTTCAGAGGTCAGGCCTAATCACACTCTGGGCCCTAGGAGAGCTCTCTGTCCCGGGGCTCCATGGCTGGTATGAAGCCAGAGAAGCCATGGAAGACGATCAAGCCCTCTGACCTCAGCCAGGAGGAGCCAGAGACACCAGAGCCCTGGAAAATCCAGGAAGCAAAACCAGGCTGGGTCTGGGAAACAAACCAGCAAGAGGGAGTGAGCCATTTCATTTTCGATATTTCTCCATTTTTCCAAATATGGAGTAAGCAAAGGCAGCATCTCGAGAATATAGATGTGGCCGGTCCCATGCTCAGCAAATCCACACATCATTTCGTCGCACCCTTAACGACAAACCCCCGAAGAAATACCATTATGGCCCATTAGCCAGTTGATGAAGCTGAGGCCCTGGCAAGTCAGTTGCCCTGCGTGCATCACTACGCATGCGCTCGTGTCCCCTCCAGACTCCTGCTACTACCCCTGCCCCCACCCCCACCCCCACGCCCACGCCGGAGCATGGAGCTCACCTGGCCGAGGTTGTCAAAGTTGTACTTGTGCCGGACCCACCGGTAACTGGCCTCAGCACAGTCCGATTTGTTGGTGATGTTCCTGGTGTCCTCGCCCTGGCACACGAAGAACTTCCCTTTGAAGAGCTGGGCACAAACATCCCCAGAGACAGAGCGAAGTGAGCTGTGGCCAAGGGAACTCACCAGCCCTTCCTCCCCCACACAAGCCCCGGAGCCAAAGAGTTCTGGGCACACCCTGAGTGAGGACAGGGTGCTCAACCACGTCAGGGAGACACTGACAGAAGCCTCCCCCGCAGGCACCCCTTCCTCTGGGCTCCTGGGAGCAGAGGCCCTAGAGGAGAAAAGGTCATCAGGGCAGGTGCTGAGGAAGGCTGGTGGGAGGGGAATAGTTCTTTATTTTCTACAAAGGGTGAAGCCAGGGGTTTTCCAAGAGGGGTCCGTGGACCAGCAAACAGCAGCGGCTGGGAACACGCTAGGAATGCAGATTCTCAGGCCCACCCCAGACCCGCTGAACCAGATACTCTGGGGGAGGGGGCCTGGTTTAATGGTGGGGGCAGGCTAGGTATTATAGACTCCACTTTACAGATGAGGAACACTGAGGCTCAGAGGAGTAAATTCACTCACTAAGGTTGAATGTAGGTGGCAGAAAGGGGGCTTGAACGCAGGTATTTCTGACTGGAAAGCTCACCCTCACTCCAGAACACATCTGGCTATGACTGTGGGTGGGCAAGGGATGGGAGGGTCAGGAGGACCAGGGGGTCTGGGCAAGCCACTCAGGATGGGCCTACATCCACTGGAAAAGCCCAGGACCGGGCTCACGAGGGCTGCCTCTGCTCACCCAGGCCGGCTGGAAGCGAGGGAAGGGGAAGGGGCACCACACAGCTTTGGCGAGTGTACCCCAGCCCGGTCCCTGGGGCTAGAGAATTCTAGGAAACCGGGAACAGCCCTCTCCCCGGGGCAAAGAGGACACTCCAGGAAGCCAAAGGACGGGAATGGGGGGTGGGGGGCGGTAGCCACCCAGGAGTTCCCCCGCTTGCCCCGACAGCCAGCTGTCTACCCTAAAGCTGAAACAGCTGGAGCCAGGGGGTTCTGGAAGACTGGGGTGGAGGCAAAGCCAGTTTCCTCCCTGGGCCGGAGGCCAAGTTTCCCCCAGCAGCCCCCACTTCCTGCCTCGTCTGGGGTCTGCACCCTCCTGCCTGCCAGCTCACCGCCGCTAACCTGGCCCAGCTGTCTGGGCCCTGGATCCCCAGGCCTGGCCTGCGGCCCACTCGGCTCAAGCAGGGAAGGAGGGGAGGGGATCCCGGAGCAGACTGGGCCAGGACAGCGTCTGCGCTCCAGAGCGCAGCGTGCGAGGGGGGCGGGGGGGG